CCCCAAAACCCCAAAACCCCAAAACCCCAACACCAAAAGAAATTTAAAACAAAGTTAATAAGATTAATGAAGTGATAAATAATAGTATTATTAAATTAAGGATATAATTTTATCAAATTAGAAGATAATGGAATTCAATAGAAGTCTTTTGTCGTGTAACAGAAAGACAAGAACATTTAGAGCAAATTTTGAAAAGATGCTTGCCATTGTATAATTCAACAAGATCTTATTGATGGCTGCTGCTGAATTCAGAGTTATTGATGTAAGCTTTCAAATTATTTAAGTGATTTTCCGATTTTAGATTCTTGATGGCCACTCTAAAAAGATTAAGTGCTTGGATGTATCATAAATATCAAAGATCATAGTGAGTTTCTCACAGGACCTCATAATAGTTTATTCATAAATGAGAGATGAGTCTATACTTCAAGATCACGTTATTACAAACGGGCCACTTAAGTACAATACATATACATAAATAATTTAATTAGATGGAAGGAATCATGGAGATATGAACTGAAAATGCCTATTAGAAATCTAAATATGAGTCCAATCGGTGATTTTTTTGCTATTTCTGGAGATGGATTATTGAGTGTTTGGACTAGAGATGGTCCAAATATTTACAGCTATTCTAATGCTATTTATTATTCTAGAGAGGAAAATGCTAAAATTTTAGCAAGTATTATAAAGCAGAAAGATTTGGGAACCATTGTCTAGTAAGAAGTCACTAAAGATGGTAGATTGCTGATTTGTCTTGAGTCTAGAGGAAAAACTGTGAAAATTTTCTATCAAGATAAAATTAGGTAAATTAAATAATAAGAAAAGAAGAAGGAGGAGAGTGAACCCCTAGATTATAGAAATCTTAACAAGAATTAAGGTATGATTTTAAAACTTAATTGATTTCGAATAGATTCAAGATGGAAGAAGAAGGAGGAAAAGGATGACCTCATACTGGCTTACAATCCTTACGCTGATTTAGACAACATGGGAAGCTATGATAACGATGGCCAAGGAAATTAGAGAGGAGATCACAAAATAGATGCTTAGGATCTTTTTGAGTACCTATTACCTTAGCATAGATTCCAAATCGAATACTTCAAAATATTACATCACGATATTTATGAATCTGAAAAGAGGAATCTACCGAATATTATTCTTACTGTCACCTCTAAAAATGAGATTTATTTCTGGCAAGAAAATTTAATGAGCGTAAGATAACTTGATTCTTACTTTAATAGGGAGACATGATGTTCAATTGTATACACATCATCAAGGGTAGCCCAAACACCCCATTCTTCGATGTTTCTTTCCTTGAATTCCCTCCAATTAACCCAAAAAGATATGTAGAATTGAAGAGCAATATTTCGAAATTGCTAGACACATCTAGAGATGAAATTCTAAGAATTAAAAAAGAAGAAAATTAATTTGGAATATATCAAGAGAATTACCATGAAAACACCCTTGATTGGGTTTTAATCTTGAATGATCACTAATTAGACATTTACAAAGTTGAGTCACTAAGAAATTTCCCGCATCGCAGCGTTTGCTTTACAGTATAATCTAAATTTTAAATGAGCTACAATCCTGTAAGATTAGATCTATTTTTAATATGATTAATAGAGAGACTTTTTCGGAACTTGCAAATTATTTTCAGCTTCTTGCAGAGACTTTAATGACATTCTCAGTTTATACTGCATCAATAGTCTCGGGTAGATCATCAAACTCAGAAAAGATTTTGTAATATTCATTTGATAATTAAAGGCATCTATAGAAAGAGTAATCTCAAACGAAATGGAAGATTGATAAGCTACTGATAATGAGAAGAAAGACTATTGAAAATGTGATCACACATTAGCAGCTACCATTCGTAGCTCACATAATGAAAAACACTGAAATCTATTTTTACATTGATGAGCAGAGCAAGAACTAGATCATCAAGAGACCTGACATGAAATTCTTAGGGGCTTACTCGGTTTATCATACCACTAAGAATGAAAGCAGAGTGGAGAGCACAACAAAAATTATCAGCGCCAAATGGGTGAAGAATCTCTGCCAAATGGTTATTCATTTTTCCAATAACTCCTTGGCATTACTCTCAAGTTTCACTTAACTTAGAATAATAGCTCATCAAAAGCATCCTGAGGAATATCTTAAATTGTGGGAGGAGAAGAGAAGTCAAATTGCTGAGAAATGGGAAAAGATATTTGAGATCAAGTTCGATGACGGGGCAGATAAAGAATAAATAGTAGACTTTGAGATTATTGATTCAAAGCTGACTGAAAGTGGATTCAAAGTTTAAATTGCAATTTTTACTAACAAAAATCAGTACCTGATATATGAGACTGATACAGAGCTATTTGAAAATATGAGAACTAAAACTGAAACAAATCTACTCTATAACAAATATACCACAGATAACTTGCTTAAGCTTTTGGGATCTTGCAGTGATTTTGAAAATGAAAATAAGACTGTTATTGCAATGATCACTGAATAAGATCCAAGTAATTAGCCAGAGTAATTAAAGTCCCCGTAGCCTGCTGCTTAATCATCATATTCCAATCCTTTTGGAGATGAAGATGATGATGATGGTTCAGATAGCTCTGATGGAGATATATTCGGATAAATCAGTGGCATTGGTAAAAAGAAGGACAAATATGTGCCTCTCAAGAAGAAGTAGCAAGAGGTTATAGTAGAAGTTAAAAAGGACGAGCCCTTAAAGCATACTTTACTACTTAAGCTTGCCATATTCAATGAAAAATCTTTAGCCAAAAAGCAGTATGAAGAATTGTGGAAAGTTGAGTTCCCTTTGAGTTACAAAAGCAAAAATTATAAGTGTAAAAATAACTCTGAATTCTTCTCATTTATGATAAATGATGGTCCTAATGATGATCTTTACATTTATCTATATGATTTGACATCTAATAAGTATATCGGGTTCGTGAATACTACAGAGATTTTAGGCATCAAGCAGGATATAAATCAGGTCGATTATGTTTTGACAAGAGGAAGTGCTAAAGGAAGTATTACTCTATACTCTCAAGATAATTTATATCTGATTGCATAGAGCTCAAGAGATGGATAGCCTGGCATGTGGTCTCTTATAAGAAAGTATGCATGTTTTCAAGTAATTTAATATAGATATGAGAATGTCGTCCAAATAGATAAGTCACAAATTAAGAAAGTTTAACTATATGAAAGTCCATGGAGAAGATTGATTATTGTCATCAATAATCACCATTTAGATATCAAGGATAAATTCATTGAGTATAAAGATGATATGGGAAAGACTGATCTAGTTAATATCTTAAAATCTTCATTACATTAAATCTATACCAATCAGCAAAGTAAAATTTAAATTACAACTTAGAATCTATTTAGAATCTTTTGCACTTTATGATCCAAGACTATTAGAAGCATTATTCATCAAGGGTTATGGGTCTATTGTTCTTAAGATCCTAGTCAAACTTCAAAATACATTGGAGAACACACCTGGCGTTGTATCAGAATTCTTGGATTATGATTTGGAGTAAATTATTCACGAAATCATGGAGATCCAGCAATAAAATTCCTCATAGGGCTAAGCTAAGAAAAAGGTCGAGACCGCTTCCTCGATGTTCGATGATTTCTACGGTTTCGGAGATGAAAAACCCAAGGAAGAAAAGAAAGATACCAAAGAGTCCACGAATCAATGTAAATTAAAATTGCTTAGATAACTATTAAACAGAACTAGAAAAGGAGTTTGAAGATGGCTTTAATTAATTCATTATCAATATTAGAACGTAAGGAAAAGAAAAACTAGGACTAAGTGATGATCAGAAAAGAGACTATATGCTATTCAGTAAAAGGTTTAAGTAGCTTTACAAAAAAGACTTTTTCTCTGATAACTTAACTACAATATTGCTCAGAAAGATATTTGTAAGTTAATTAAATTCAGCTAAATATGTTTATAGTATGAAACTGAAGAGATAGAGCTCGAGGAGATTGACAAAAAGAAAGAGGAAAAAATGTCAGCATAACCTTTCAATGTAATGGACTTTATTTAGCAAATCAGAGGTCAAGTAACCTACTCAAAAGCTAATATTGCTTTAATTAAATAATGGACATCTTTTGAGACTGCATTAGCTCTGCATAGTGAAAGTTAAGATGTTATTTTCTAGGAACTTCAAACTAGATTCGATTTTGACAATAATCTTAATTGGGAGATGATGAAAAAATTGTGCATTCCTGTTTGGCTTAAAGATATATCGAAGATTAAAATCTTAGTCGAGAAGATTGCTAAAGTTGAATACAAGAATGGAGCTGACGATTTAAATAAGGCAAGTAGAGCAGAAAGAACTGCACTCTGGTATATTTTGATCGGAAAGAAAAACTTCCTCTGTTCACTTTATAAGCAAGAGGCTTAATAGAAGAGAATATATGATTTTTTAATGCAAGATTTTACTCAGCCAAAGGTAAGAACACAGGCTTCAAAGAATGCTCTTGCACTTATGAGTAAAAAGAATTATATAACCAGTTGTGCTTTCTTCCTTTTGTCTGGAAGTATCAAAGATGCACTACAAGTAGCCCTTGATAGACTTAACGATCCAGTTCTTGCTGTTCTTATTGTTAGACTTATGGATTAGGAGGATTCAGAAATCTTGAAGGATGTCTATCTTAAACATTTTGTTGAAAGAGGAGAGAAAGCAGGTGATCCATATCTTCAAAATATTGGTAGATGGTAGAGAAAGGAGTTCCTTAAGTCAGTCAATATTTTCACTCTTGATAATACAAAGTCAAATAACATCCAAAGCATCCTCAAATTCGAGCATTCCGAATTTAATCTCTATTTTTCGCAATTTAAACATGACTAGTAGATTAAGCAGGATGAATTGAATGACTTTGTGCCACATTTATCAAGATATGATTACTTTGCTTTAGATTTTGTTAAAGCTCTTAAAAAGAATACAAATGTCAAGAGATAAATCCAGAAAACTTGGAATAACGGTGGAGGCTTTGGTGGAGGAGGTGGAGGAGGCTCCATATTTGACGACTTTTATGGGGATTCATCTGCCTAAACATAAAAGAAATAAGAGGAAGTTAAGTAAGAGGAAAGTAAACTCAATGTAGACGAATCTAAAATAATGGAAATGGTTACATTTGAAACATCTTAAAGAGGATATTCGCTTGTTTCATTATTAGTAATGACTGAAAATCAAGATTTTGTTGAGTAAATGGATAGAAAGTACAAGTAGCTGCTCTCAAATTCGCTATTAACAGATGTTATTTAAAGTATGATCCATGGTGATTATAATGGCTAAATCTCAAAACTGAATAAAAGTATCAATCTTTTGGCTGAAAGGTTAGACATTGAACCAAAAGAAAGCAAAGAATTTATCAGAAAATAATTGAAACATATTGAAAACCTAAATCTAATTATAGGCTATCTGATTGAGGATGGAAAGGAAAGTGTTATGTACAAAGTTGAACAAGAAGCTCTTAAATAGATGAACTTTATTAATTCAATGGCTGATTTCCCTTTCATCACAGATGGAGGATTCAAAGATAAGAGAGGCTTTAACATGATTAAGATGGTAGACTTCCTTGAAAACCTGGTTGAAAGCTACATGCAAGTTGATTTCTAAGAGTAGAGAGTGTCTATTGAAAGAAAAGAAACAATAAAGGCTAAGCAGTAAAAAGCAAAGGCAGGTTTTATTGATTTTGATGACGATGAAGGTATGCTCGATACTGAGGAAAAGAAAGGAGATATTGATGTAAAGAAGTAAGACAAATTATTATTAACATTTCATAGTTTTCATATAAACTCAAATTCAATGGGAGGTGCACCTTCAGCTCTATCAAATGAAGAAGAGATCAATAAATAAAACCTAAGCACTAAGTAATTATACCTGTACATAAATACTTTAAATTAGAGTGAGAGCTACAATGATAATCTACATTTCACTGATTCAGCTATCTTTTATTGCTAAAAAGTTTGGAATGGTTAAATAACTTGTTGTTGATTTGAGAAATATTCTTGGAACTAGACTTCTTGAAGGAAATATCTCTGCAGATGATATTAACCTCCAAAACCTTAAGACAAAGATTCAGAAATTTAAGTATACATTAATGAAGCCAATTGAAACTGACTAAGAGAAGGAAGATCTTTAATATTAGTAAGTAGGAGTAGGTTTGAATAAGCTAACCAAAGAATAAGAGGACCTTATTAAAATGAGAAATAAGATCAATCAATTTATGATACTATGGATTAGATTCATTATTTCTCACAATACATATCAACTTGTAGACTTTTAATTTGAAAAGACCCAAATCAGAAATCTTATTGATCTCAGACCATCAATCATTAATACAAGACCCCTAAATGAGGCGATTGAAATTATTATGAATCCAAGATTAATATCAGGAGAGCTACTGAAGAAATTTGGAAATATGCATCGTATCCTCGAGAATGTGACAACCTACTATTTTGAAAACTTCCTTAATATACAAGAGAGAGCTATCATCTTAGAAGAGCTCAAGAGATTACAAATAGCTGTATTATTTTATTATCTAATTCTAAATTTAGAAATACGACTAAATCCAAACTGATAATATAGACTTTAGCTAAATTTTTACAAATGAGAATAAATTCACAGAATTTGCACACTTTTTTGACTTAACTGGCTTCATCAAGCATCTTAAAGATCATGAACTAAGCTTGATATATAACACTAATAATGACTACAGCCACTATGCAGTTTAAAAGACCTAAGAGCTCTTTGAAAGTGGGATTGATGTAAAGATTTGAAATTGAATTATAAACTTTAATAGATTTTTAGATTGAAGAGTGAGTCAGTCAATGGATTTGCATTTGACAGATGTGATATGGATCTTGTATCACTTGCAATGCTTGGTAAGGGTATCAGAGAAATCCCAGTACACAAGGCACTATTATACAGAAACAGATTGAGTAAGGGTCACTAAGTACTAGATGAAGAATACACCACTTGGCATGAGTGTTTGAAGAGATTTGATAAGGTCTCACAAGAGCATTCAAATCTTAAAGCAACAAACGAACCTATCATTGCTATAGTTGACAAGCTTTACTCTTATAAGACAGTTAACTACACTAAGAAACCCAGAGTAAAAACTATTGTTAATATTATTTTTTTTTCCATAGAGAAAGAGAGGCACATTGTTTTTGGACTATGAAATGAGTCCACCAGATTTGTGGAGTAGTCACAAATCGACAGATTACTTGAAAACTAGATCTAGCTAGGAAATTAACCATGATGAATATGCTGCATGTGTTGAATCACATCCATTCCTCCCTCTTTATATGACAAGCAATTAAAGAGGAGTGCTGTGTCTTTGGGGGTTCAACCAGAATGAAGACAGATCATTAGATTAATGGCACACTGCTCATGAAGACATAAAACCAAAGAAGGCAACAGTCAAAAAGATTCAGTTTAATGGATATGGAGATAAAATAATTTCCCTTAACATGGAGGGAAGTATGTTCATTCATAGATTTGACAATAATGACATGTCAAGGACTGTCCCTATTTATCAACTCAGAAAAACCAAAGAACGCAAGTTTAATGATCTATCTATTCTTAATCAAGACACAGTCATCGCAATGGCATCTCTAAAACCAAAGCATGTCTGGGTGCATGATACCCTCATTGGTCAAAGAGCTGGTTTAGTTATGGAATCGTAAATAGGTGGAAATATCATTTAACCTATTAAAAAGAGAAGTCATTTACTCTTATTGAATGAGAAGCCTGGCTAAATGAATATACTTGATTTAAAGATGAATAAAGTTGTTCAATCTATCAACCTTCATAATGATGAAGCTACCTCAATTGCTGTATATGAAGGAGAAGGAGCAATAGCAGTAGGCTTTAAGGTATAAATAAAGGAAATTATAATTTTATTTTAGGACGGAATGGTTAAGATTTACAATGCAGATAAAGATTACGAATTAAGAGAGTCTTTTGTAGCCTTTTCATCTCAAGGAAACAAAAAAGGAGTTGTTACTGCTGTTAAAGTACATCCAGGTAATGGAGCTTTGTTTGCTTCATCCGCCTCTGGAAATTTCAAGATACTAAGAACCAAGTGAGTATATGCAGCTCTAGTTAGGTGGAAAATTAATTTATCTAGCCTTAAAACTCATAGAGGCTTAACTATTCTTTTATTTTTATCAATTCTTAATTTAATCTATTATTTAAGCTGAAGGATTGTATCTTAAGGGGTTTTGGGGTTTTGGGGTTTTGGGG